AATAGAAATAGATTTAAAAATGCTGCAGAAACATGAGACCGAATCGTCCTGGCTCACCGGCACGGTTTCTATAAGTAGAGTGAAGTTCCAAGAGCCAGTCTCGAATGCTCAAAGAATGATCCCAATGCGCATCCAAATTAAATGAAAGAAGAAACACTTTAGTCGCTGTTTCGGTGAACCGTCTTCGATAGTTCACATTCGCGGCAACAACCTCACAAGTTTATAGTCCTGCCCAACAATTACTGATTAGTTAAGCATTAGACATTTCCATTAGTTCCCCTTTACAAGTGCCATGAATATGGGAGTAAAGAGTGGCGTTCTCAAACAAATCACGGAGCTGAAAAAGGTGTCAAAGTGTGGAGAAATCGACACCCCCATACGATAATTGACGGATTGATAAAGTGTGTAAACAGAAGGGAGCGGCTAGTGGGCTTTTGATCGGGAAGTAATTGAACAATACTTGAAAACTTCACAAAATCCGGCAATCTTACAAGTCCCTGTAGTAAACTGTGAAACTATTAAGTGATTATTATGAAATCTAACTTTACGACTCCAAAACCCCGTAAAAATCAGAGATAAAAGAGCATTATATATTTCTCAGGGGGTATGAAAGTGAGACGCCCGCAATGCCCTACCCACCTAGGACTTTTGAAAAAGAATTCAGTTTTTTTAGTACAATTTAAAGGGTTTTAAAGTGGGAAATAGGGGAGGAATGCTAATCGTCCCTTGAGTCCCTTTGCCTAATTTAAAATACGCGACGGACAGACGACGATAAACAGGAGACAATGCGTCTTTATGAACAGCAACTCAAACCCATAGATTTCTTTCAAAAAGGGAACACATCAGCGTTTCCCTCTGTGAGAAGGAGCAGGCTGATAAGAAGATATATCGGTTGGTTTTCGCTTAGTAAGCGACAGTACTTGTAGGAGTGAAAGAAATCAGACCTATACCGAACTATGCATCGTCCAATTCATGGAAATAACGTTAAAATTTAGTAAAGAAAAACTAGGTCTTCCTTAGTTGATAGACTTAAAATTAATTGGCATGCAGGAATGGCCATATGCCTTTGGGAGAAAAGAGTAGCTCAAAATTGCCTTTTTTGAATCGGTAAAACGGTTAAAAAATAAATCTACTGACTTCGTCTGAAGTAAAAGTAATGACAGACGTAAAGAACTTGCTTCCAATCCTAGATAACAACTTGGCAATTTCCTTCCAGTATAACCAAATAAGTCCACCTGACTAAAAATTATATAAGCGAGGAAAATAAGCCCTTCTTCAATGCAAATGCATAAAGGAATGGAATCAAAAAAAGCAACCGCTTCCAGCTCAGGTCACATAAAAGCGCACCTCTAAGGCGCAGAATAAGTAAGAAATATGGGGAAGGAAACAGCCTTCCTACCCCTTTAGCCATAAATTAGCACATTTGAAACTTAGCTTCCCATCAGACAAGCGTAAAACAAGTAAATGGAATTTTGACGTACTGAGAGGAGTGAGAGCAAACAGGGCCTCACGATAAGGGTTTGAACCAATGTCCCGGAAGATGCTTCTAGAAGCGGTGACAGCAGAGGTATCGACGGAGTTAAGAGCTGGGGTAGTGCCGTCCTCGCCATTGGCAGTGGAGACACCAGAAGTGGCAGAGATAAAGCCAGTCGATTGGGTGGTGAGAACAAGTAAGAGATGGCAGCTCTGCTTCGCTAGTGGATGCAGCACACCGCCTCCTGGACTGCTCGACTCTGCTTTGGCCTCTACCTTTGCGTTGGCAGTGCGACGTGAATAACCCAGAGTTACCACCGTCATTAGACCACCTGCAGAAAAAAAGAAAACCAACGGCAACGAAAAAGACGACTTGCTAGAAAAGCATTATCCATCACTTCTTCAAGAACAAGCCAAATCACTGAAGTTCCTCATTCCTAGTTAGGCATGAGGTAGGGCTTTCCCCATCACGTCACCACTACTATTCATTCATTTGAGGGTTACTCGAGTGACAATAATCACTATATTTAATGTATTAGACGGATGAGCAAGTGATAATAACTACATTCGACTCGGTGTATTAAAATAAACCAACAGTTGTTGTTATACGATTAAGCATTACCAGGTACTACTTAGTGTCGCTGACTATGTCACAAACCTATTGGCACCCTTATGTTTGTGCCACTGGATGTCATTTATATAAAACTATCAATATTTTCTAATCCAAAAGACTAATGTTAGTAAATGCAATCGCAGTTAGCCGGAGAAACTAAAGCTCAAGTCCTAGTCAAGCAGTAGTTGGTTAGCTAAAAACAACTGCTATAAGATTTCTGCCAATACAATATCAAGCTTATTCCAATAGACAATGCAAACAAAATTCCCAGGATTACAACCTGCAAAAAGATGATAGTGGGTGAGTGGGTAAAAGTCGGTTTCCTATATTTGTTGAGAAATAAGTGGCAAATAATGGCGTGGGATGAACTATCAGTATGTAAGCAACAGATTTGTAACGCCTTTGAGAAGATCACTGAGCGGTACTCGTCTGTTCTAAGATTACGTCGACCTCGGTAGAAGCCTCCTACGTTACACTGCTCACGCCAGACGATCAGTGACTAGAATTCCTCCTTCATATATTATTAAGATTGCCAATAGCCCAAATGCCAGTAAAATGTAAATTTGTTAAATAGTTTATTTTCAGAAGGCGAAAGAGACTTCAGCATCATATCTTAAAACGAGAAGTCCCTGAAACGCCGCCTTATGCTAGTACAAAGGCCACGAGTGCATTAGTAAACAAAACACTTTAAGCCAATAGACAATCATCATTTGATTTAGTCACTGCAAGTACGAACACCTGGCACTGAGACCATATCGATAAAATGATAAATCTCTCCAACTTACAAATCACCAGTGGGAATAGTTTGCGTCTCAGATAGTCGATCGAAATTGGGTGCGCAATCGCTCCCACAGAGTTGGTAGAACAAAATAGAAGGTGGTATAATTCAGTTGGTAAAATAGATGTGTATGAAATAGTCAGCGTACTTGCGATGGTTGAAGCAGCATTCCAGAGCATTCCTGAAGCATGATTTTCCGCAATCATGCTGGCAGGACAGGGCAAGTTTTCAGTAATATTGAGCACCAGTCGATGGACGAAGGATGGAGCGTCTGCCAAACTAGACCACAACATGTAAGTTTTTACAAATTGAACGCACTACGAAACCGGTCTAGTGTACATGCATACCATTTCTTTGATGTAAAATACTTGCAAGTAGCAGGTATCTCATCGCCACCGTACCCGGAAACTTGGGCAGAAAGGAGAATAAGTAAAGACGACAAGCACTCATAAAGCAATCCGTATGTTTTGTCACTACATTGAATGAGCTCCACAGAAATCAAAGACATTACTTTGGAACTACTTCAACAATCAGAAGAAATAGAAGATGAACTGTATATTCTGCAAGTGATGGCGAATTCGACGCTACACCAAAATAAGGGTTAAAGCGGTCAGTACCTTTCGATGTGATATCGGCAAAATGCAAATTCATGCTATGACTTGAACGGTTTTCAAGTATGTATTTTGTGAAAATGCGAAATATGAGAAGGGCATTCTGGGCCATTTTTACATCCGACGCATTTCTAGAGAAAAAACACTTGACAACTGAAAGCAGCTTACATCCCCTGACCCATTTTGATGCTACCTAAAACACTGGTTGCTTTCACAATAAACTGCTGTAATAATGTAGCTAAATTATGTGTTCTCAAGTCGTTTCGATAGAAGCGTTGTTGAAGGCTCGAAACGGCAGCCTCGAGATAAAACGACGCCTCACTGCAATCAGTTTTGAATAAAATTAATAAGCATAAATACTTTGTGAGGGGTATTTGTATGTCAAAGGATAATAACCGGTTCCAATACTCATTGCTAGTGTTAACGCTTTCCTGACCAACAAGTTTTATCAAATATGGATTGGTGGCAAGATCCGCTAAATTACTGACACTGGCGCCCATTTAGCAGATGTAGGCAAATGCCCACTACAGCGTCCTTCAAAGCAACGCACAGCTAGAATACATGGATAAACATAGGAACGTGTTCTTAAGGCAATACTCAACAAATCTTAGATAAAAAACTTTAGATATGATTTAAGTCCCAGTAAGACACACCGGTCTATCTCTATAAAATGGTTTGCAAAAATACAAATTCATATGAGTTAACTGAAAGACGTAGTCTTTTAAAAATTTTTCGTCGAGGTGTGGAGTTTGTGACAGCCAAAAAAGAATCGTAAACCACTAAAAAACTGTTGCTTGTCAGAGGACCAAGAAATTTTTATTACCAACGCAAAATAAAATAAAATTTTAAAGTTGCTAAAGCCACCTAACACTTTTGAGGCCGCTTATGCTATTTAAATGTGCGCGGTCAATCCAAATGTGTTGCTCAACTGTGATTTGTCCTCTGCTTCGGG